CTCCACCTACTCATTCGACACCACGCAGAACTGCACAGTATGGGCGCACCATAATGCTTCCATTCCCGACGGTCACTAAAGTGATTCATCCTTTTTCATCACATATAACACTATAGTAAATATCTTCTGTCCACATACCCTTGCGCACAGCAATTCCACTTTCAATTTCTCTATCTCTCACCTGCTTCATCAGAATCATCACCACAGACCTTCTCCTGGTCAGTTGGGGGAGGACGACCAAATGGATCGTGGTCCAGTGAGGTCTCAAGGAAATTTTGTTCTCGACTAACAGAGACCCGCAGGGGGTCTCTGTCTTGATAAAAATCTGATTTACCTGGTAGGGGAAGAAATGGACTCATTAGATTTCCACTTAAGTTTCAAGTGCTAACCAAAACTAAAATGGCAATTTAGATTATGGGGCAAAAATCTAAACTCTGAAAGACTTGATATATGTAGCAAGAAAATGATAACTGCTTTTCTTTCACACAGGCTTTTAAATTATTTTACTTCAATTTTACTAAGATGATATACCTACATCTTAATCCAGATAATGCTTCAGTATTGACTAATAATAGGAAAAATGCCTGGAGAATTTACTCACCATTATAAGACATAATATGCATTCATAACATAAAGTTCGAAAATAGCCATGGCTAATCAGTGGTATAAGAAATCAAGATAGGGGTTTACCCTGGGGAGAACTGAGCAAACAGTAACCGGGGAAGGGAAAGGGACGGGTTTATGGAGTTCTCCAACATTCCACTTCTTGACCAAGGCAGTGATTATGTATGTGGAGGTGGTTATTACAGTGATAATCTCTGAAGTAAACACTGATGATTTATGCATTTCTCTGAATGTTGAACTTTGGTACCGAAATAACAAGCAAACAAAGGAGTAGAATATTCTCAAAAGTAGAAGCTAATTTACTGTGCAGAACCCTAAAAAACTTGGTTATTAAAGGCACCAGTTATTGCAAAAGGAAGGTGTATGTCAGGGAGAATATTTAAAACTATGTATTTGGAACAGATCCCTCCCAGCCAGGGACATCCCTGTCCCTCAACATCATCCCCAGAGTCGACTAAAGGTTTATTCTCCAGAGAAACGCTGGAGTCTGATACACTCTGAATTCAGGGGGATCAGGCACCGAAAGGTGCAAGGGTGGAAGGAAGAGACAGAATGCCATTAAAAAATATCAGGCCTATTAAAAGAAAGTCTGCATTCTCAACCCAGATCCCCCAGGTCTGGCTGCATGTCAGCAGCAGCCAGACGTGTATCAAGCTTGAAGGATCTTTGAAGAAACTAAATTGTAAACTGCTTTAAGGAAAAGAACCACAGATATTAAGTTGAGGGTCTCCAATGAAATCCAGCAATACACAAGGCCCCTGCCTACAGAATCCCCAATTAGCCTTTTAGTGTCCCACTCCAATATGCAAGCTATTAGAGAAAGCCTCTAAAATATCTAAAAAAAAAAAAGGAACAAAGGAATTCAGACAAACAGAAACTACAGGAACCCAAATAAATAAAACTCTATAAAAATTCAAAGTAAGTAATATCTTGCATCCATGAAAATAGAAGAATGCTATGAATAAGGGAAAAAAATCAGGAAAAAGAACAAGCTTTTGTAAACTACAATTTGACAGTCAAAATGAAAGTTCCTAAGAAAAGTCAGAAGTTAAGGAAATTCTCCCAGGAAGTAAAACCAAAAGAAAATGAAATGTACTATAATAAAGAAAATTGGGAGATCAATACAGATCAGTATTTTTCAACATTACTTTTTATCATCATCACCTAGCTAAGGAGCCTTTTTTAGAGTTTTTTTTTCCTTTTAATTTACTCCTAACTCCATGAAATTTTATACAGTATAGATATACTGTATATCTTTTTATGTACATCTGTGCTTTGGTACATAAAAAGAGTTAAGACTTTTTCTCCTTCCCCAAACCAATTTTTATCCCTTTTGGGGACAATACTACTCTTGTTAAAAATATATGACATAAGTCGTCCAACTTTCAACTAAAAAGTGTTCTACAAACAGAGAAAATGGTGTAACCTCAAATTATATTAGTGATATTTAACAGATTAGTGTGGGAAGACAGACATTCAACATAAGCTTTAAGCAAATGAAAAAGAGGAGACAAAAGTTTTACAAATAGGAAATATAATCGTAGAATACTAATTGTCTCAGCAGTGAAAAATATTTACACATCAGCATGATAATAATTTAGCTTAATTTTGCTAAAATCCACTGCCAACTATAGAGGTAAAACAAAAAGAAACACTTAAAAGACTTGAAAAGTGACTGCTTCTGGTGAGTAGGATTAAGGGGTAAGGAGGTGGGTAAAGCAGGAAGATATGTTTCATGCTATAACCTTTAGCACTATTTACCTTTTAAAACTATCTGCCTGTAATATTTTGATTAAAAGTATTACCCAAAGTGGTATGATAAAGGCTATAATAAAAGCTCCTAAAGAGCACATGAGAGAGATATCTGACAATTCAGGAAATATTTACCAGACAAGTGGCACTTAAGCCAACCCTGAAGGGAGGAGTGAGATCATGAAGGGCCTGGTAGGTGAAACTAGAGACTTAGACTTAATTTGGACTTATTCCTCATACCAAAAGGAAACCACTGAAGAGTTTTAAACATGGAGAAATGAAGGGCAATTACTCTTAGTATATTATAGGAAAATGAATTAGAGCAAAGCTAGACTGGAACCAGGGAGACACTGGGAGATGTAGGAGCCATTCATGAAAGAAATAGCGGCCTGAATTAAATGAGTAGTAGTGGGAATGGAAAGAATTGGACAGATTCCTGAGTTGACCAAGTAGAACTGAGAAGAACTGGTGACTTATAGAGTGTTGGACAGGTAGACAAAGGAAATCTCAAGACATGTTGGGGTACTATTCACTAGAAAAAGAAGGCTAAAAAGTAACGAAGTGGAGGTCAACGAATAGTACGCAGCTTTCCTTTTAGACAGGTGATATTTTGCAACCTCAAACATAATTCATTAAATTATAAGAATCAATGGTGAGAATTTCCCAATGTTCATTCTGAATTAGGAAAAGCACCAATCAATTCCCGAAGCTGTGGTTTGACAAACAGTACAAAATATGAGAAAAGCTTCTAAAGCCTAGTAATAAATAAAATCATTACTCTGTTTTAAGTTCCATAAGACATAATAAGAAAGCAGAAAGGGGACTGACTCTTAAAAATGACTCTCAGTTTCTACCTTCTTTAATTCTTTCAGCCAGAAACAAAGATATAATGTTTTATGGCTGAAGACCAAAATAGCTAATATTAACATTACACTTCTATGTACCTTTGTACTAACAAAGCTAATTTCTTCTTTAAAAAGGATTTGCTTCAATGAATTTGATCAAGAATGTTATTTGGTAAATCTGAAATCTAAAAATAATTATGAAATTCAAATAGCAGTCTCAGGGAGGAATCTTTCTAGATAACTGGATCTAGCAAGAAGTATAGTGAAAAAATATACCTAACTGTCCTTAAAGCCAGGATTTTAAGCATAATACTTATCCTATAAAAGATATAAGAAAAGAACAATAAAGGTACAGAAGTAGGAAAGCAAGATGGGAAAAGAGAAAAAACTGAGCTCTATCCTAAAGAAACTGGTTTAAAAGGCAAACGTGAAAGGAAGCAGATGGACACTAGAGTGTCAGAATAAGGGATGTCAAAGAATTTTTGTCTACAGTAAATGAGTCTCCCCCATAGATAAGAAAAACCTAGTTACCTATTGCCACATTTTTCTAAGTCCAAATTTTGTATAGTTTATGTAAATCATTTTTTTCCTTTCACAAGTACTCAAAGCCAAATTCTTCAACAATAACAACAAAAATTAGCATCTTAATTTCTACAAAGGTGTAGAAAACTGGCAAACTGTTAAAAACCATATTTCACAAACCATCTGTTTACCTAGTATAGAAGGTCTGCCACTTGCTGGTGAGTCTACCTCTTGAATAGCACTAAGTTCATGTTGGTTCAAGTCCAATCCACATTTCACTTTTGCTACAGGTGGCTTTGAGGCTCTCCTATCCGGTTCTCTGTTCAGATGCTCACCTATCAAGTCAATGACAAAGTTAGGAAGGATACAAATCTATTAATATACTATAAACTTCTTTTCAACCAGCAAGTTGCAGGAAGTGAAAGCAAAAAATAATCAGCTGAATAATTACAATAAAATCCAATTATCTTACCATTTTGTTTGGTGCTACTATCTTCTGAAAGCAGCTGATGATTATCATCAGAATTGCTTTTATCTGCAGGACTAATGTCTTCAGGACCATCTCTAGCTTGGTCTTGGAGATGAGGAAGCCACTCCCTGAGCATCTGGGTTTTTAAATCATTTTCAAGTGTGGACTTACTTGTCTGAAACAGTAGACAGATGAGGGTAAGTATGACAAAGGATGAGGGATCATGTGATAAGATTCTTATCTCCCTCTTAAGTTAGAACCGCAACCAAATAAATAGTTCCATCAATCATACTATTTTTATCAACAGATAAAAATAAAAAATGCTTCTAATATTAAAAGGGTGATATATTACCATTGGAAAGTACAACTACTCACAGCCTTCGACCTAAAAACTTAGCTTCCACTGTACCTTTCAACAAGGGATTTTACTTGAGTATCCCCCATTTGCTTTTCTTTTCCCATTGTTTTTCCTTCAAATGACCAGTAAATCCCTAGAACTCCAGTTCTCATTAACTTGACTCAAACTTCTCCTGAACGTCAAAGGATTTATAGAATTCTATTTAAGCTAAATCATAACTTTAGGAAATGGCCTTTAAAGGAAAAAAAAAAAAAAAGACATTCATATTTATGAGAATATACTCATCTCCCATATAAAGAAACTATGAATATCTGAGTGACCATGCCAGTCTTCTCAATAATTCAGTAACAAGTAGCAGGTCCAGCTGTCCATCAGCCTAAAATCATCTCAATTATACAACAGGCATTAACATTGTCAATTAAGGAAAAAGATAATACTAATTTTGATTCATATACAAATGTCGAAAAGTGCTATACAGAAAGTACAAGGTCTGCTATTTGCATAAGATTAATTCTGCTAACTGGTTATTTTACAATTTAATCTTATGGTAAGCTCGAAACCCTTTATAACAAAACTTCATATGACAATCTATATTTTTAAGAGTGTTCGCATTTGGTTGTATCAAACTACGGGCTGAAATTAGTTGGGCTTCAAATAACTATTAACCTCATAAACACCATGTGAGGTAGTTTAATTTTATGTTTTGATGTCCACATTAAAGTAGAAAATTAAAGCAGTTAAGATCAAACCACTTATTCTCAATAACTAAGAACTTATTTAGGCCTAAAATTAAAAAAAAAAAAAAAAAAAATTTAGCTTGTCTGAGCCAGGTTAATTCCATTGTTTAATTCTTAGATACCCATTTGATACGTACCTGACCATCTTTAAAGAAATCCTTCAAAGTCTCTTGGTGTTTCTGTATCTGCTGCTGCAGTTCTGTTTGTCTCTGTACTAGCAGTTCTTCTTGGGCTTTTTGGTTATAATGCAGGATTTCTTTTTGTAGATCCAACTGCTTCTCAAGTCCCAAGTTATCTTGCTGAGCTAAGATAGGCTGTGAAAAACTCAAAAGTCTATCTTGAAATTTGGGGACCACAGAATTGCCTGAAGGAACTGCATGTCCATTCTTGAATGAATCCAGTTCACAAATGTCTTTAGATTTCACTTCAGCAAATGGTAGTGGAATAAATAAATGCTCTCTTTCCTTGGGTAGAGACAAAAAGGGAATAGCGTGCTCCAAAGATTCACTTTCAGTCAAGTTATTTTTGTTTAAAAACAGTTCTTCCTGGGCCTTCTCATCAGAATGCATTACTTCCCTTTGTAAATCCGATTGTGCTGTCAAATGTTCTTGTTGAGGCAGAAAAGGCTGTGATAAACTCAAAAGCCTATCCTGTGATCTGGGGATCTCAGGATGACTTGAGGGAACAGTACTGTTACTTCTTGTTGGAAAAGAGTTTGAGATTCTTTCAGATTCAGCAACAGGCAGTGCTACCTGGGATAACAATGAAGAGGAGCTCGTCGGATCAGATGATACCCTTTTCTCCAATTGACTTAGTCTTTGCAAAAGCAATTTTTCTTGGACTTCCTGTCTAAACCGAATGGCTTTCCTTTGTATATCTAACTGCTGTTGAAATACCTTCAGATCACCATGGTGAGGTTGGATAAAATGCTCAGAAGATAAATTTTCCTCAAATTTATTTTGTCTGGGCAATATACCTTGAGGTAAAACTGGCTGTGATAAACCCAAAAGCCTATCAGGCAATCTTGGTTTCTCAGAATGACTTGAAGAGGCTGTATTGTCAATCTCAGTTGGGCAAGGTTCGTGGATTCTATCAGATTCAGCAAGAGGTAATGAAGCAAATGAATGTTGTCCACTTAAGGGTAAGAAAGAGGTGTCAATCTGATCAGGAGATATTCCTTCATTCCACTCACTCTGTTTATGTAAAAGTAATTCTTCCTGGGCTTCCTGTCTAGGTTGAATGATGGCTTCCCTCTGTGTGGCTAATTGTTCTTGAAGTGCCCTCAAGTTATCTTGTTGAGGCTGGATAAGTTGGGATATTCTCAAAAGCCTATCCTGCAATTGTGGGATCTGGAAATGGCTTGAAGGAATTTTACCATCACTCTCTGTTGAAAGAGGTTCCTGGGTTATACCAGATTCAGAAGGTAATGAAGTAAATGAAAACTGTCCTAACTGGGGGATGAATGAGGAGGAACCAATTTGTTCAGAAGATACATTTCCTTGGGTTTTCTGGCTAAAACGAATGGCCTCCTTCTCTGTGTCCAGCTGTTCTTGATGTTCCTCCAAATTACCTTGTGAAAATCTCATAACTCTTTCCTGAAATCTTGGGAACTTAGAATGGCTCAAGGAGACCGTACTGTCACTATTGATTGACATAAATTCCTGGCACCTTTCAGATTCAGTTACTTGCGATAGGGATAAAGAAGTGCCAGTCTGTTCAGAAGAAATTCCTTTTTCTAATTCACTTTGTTTGTGTACAAATTCCTGGGTTTCTTGTTTGGCACCAAGTATTACCCTCTGTATGTGCGACTGTCCTTGGAGAGTTGTCAGATTTTCTTGCTGTGGCAGGCTATGCAGTGGAAAACTGAGAGACTCATCTTGAAACGTTGGCATTACCGAGTGACTTGAGGAAATAGTACTCTCCTTCTCAGACAAATAAAGGTTCTGAAATCCAGGCTCAGTTTTAGGAAGCTTGCATTTTTTCATTGGTGGGAATGAAGAACTCATCTGCCCAGATTTATTGTCCCCCAAATCCCTTTGTCTATGTAAAAGTAATTCCACCCGGGCTTCATGCCCAGGCTGAAGAGTTTCCCTCTGTGCAGCCAGCTGCTCTTGGAGCAACTTCAAATTATCATGCAAAGGTATGAAACTCAAAGAGCTACCCTGAGATTTTGGGATTTCAGACTGGCTTGAGAGAAGGCCCTCTTCACTCTTTGATGAATACTGCTTCTGGATTTTTCCAGATTGAGTACCAGCAGAAAGAAGTGAAGTAAATGCATGCTGAGCTACCTGAGATGGGAGAGAAGGGGGCTCGGTCTGTTCAGACCGCACTTTTCCATTCAGATCACCCTGTGTAGGTACATATAATACTTCCTGGGCTTCTCGCCTAGCCTGAAGGCTGTCCCTCTGAATATTTAACTGTTGCTGAAGAAATTTAAAATGATGTCGCTGTGGTAAGATAGGCTGTGAAAAATGCAAAAGCCTATCCTGAAGTTGTGGGATCCCAGGATGACCCGAGGAAACTGCAGAATCATTCTTAGCTGGAGAAGGTTCCCGGATTCTCTCTGATTCAACTTTGGCAGAAGGCAGTGAAGCAGATGAATCCAGAGGTACCAATGGAAGCAATGTAGAGACACCAGTTTGCCCTTCTAATTCTTTTTGTTTGCACAAAAGGAACTGTTCCTGAGCTTTCTGTCTTGAGCGAAGAACTTCCTTCTGTAGGTCTAACTGTTCTTGGAGAGCCTTCAAGTTACCCTTTTGGGATATGATGTTCTCTGAGGATGGCAAAGACTTACCCTGCATTTGTCTGATTATAGAATGGCTTACAGAAACTGCACTTTTGCTCATGGTTGAAAAGGTTTCCTGGATTTCTCCAGATTCAACTTTAGCAGGCACAGTACGAAAAGAATGCTCAGGTACCAGTGGTGGTAGGAATGAAGAAGGTTCGGTTAGCTTAGAAGATATATTTTCATTGTTCTCTGAAACAATCTGCTGGGAGTCTAAAGTTTGAAAAGTTGTTGCCCTAGATGTTTCAGCTATTTCACTAGAATGCCGGAATACTGGAAGCCTATCATGTGATAGAGCCCCTGGAAGTATATGAGACTCTTCAGGGACTGATTTATAGTCTCTTTGTTGTGTTTCAGTCTGAGAAAATTGCTTTGGCCGTTCTTGTGATTCTAAACATTGGTTGGCTAAAACATCAGTTTTTGTTGTTTCTATCTGTCTTTGTGGAAAGCCTTTTTGTCGTGGAACCTGAAAATAATCTGGTTCTGATTTGGGGATCTGTATGAGCTGTATAGGTTGATATTCGTTAGGACACAACTTAGGTCTCTGGCCTTGGTCCCAAAGGTCTGATACAACAGTGAGTCTTTCAGATTTCAGTGGTGGGACTGATGTAACAGAATCGGATATCAACGATGTGGCTGTCATGGATGGGTATTTCCCTTTTAACATAGTCTGATACTCAAGTAATCGTTTCCTGGCTGTTTCAACAGACTTTCTGTGAAGCCTACCAAAAATAAATACAAAAACAAACATATATTATTCTCTTTTGATTAAAAAAATGTTCCATATTCTTAATTATCTATGCTTTAAATTTAAGAGCAACCTAAGGTTAGCCATAATCATGGTGGAAAAGGAACAACATTCACATTGCCCTTTCAGAAATCTGTAATAATTCGAAGGGAATCCCGATAAGATCTTCACATAAATAAAGTAATAAATCCTGAGGATGTAGCCACACACTATAACATATGAATTGTATCCTAACTAATACCTGTTTTGCTGTAAAAGCTGATGTTGATAGTTACGAATCATCCGCCTATGACTTTCTTCATCAGTACTGATGGCACATGATCCTGGAGCACTGCCAACCTAATAAAAGACAAAGCTGCTAAGACAAATCCAGAAACAAGTACTCAAGTATTTAATATGAACTGAAGTTCTATAATGGTAAAATTCCATATAGCTTCCTTTTTTTTATAAAAAAGACTGGCACTTCTATTATTATAAAACAAAGTAATCTACCATTCTCTTTTAGTGCCAAGTCCAAGAACTCAACATTCCCATTACATACAAATCACGGTCACATATACTGGCACTCTCTAGAAGCTGAAAGATGAAAGCCATTAAGTTTATATAAACTTATTTATATATACACATTATTAAAATTAAAAAAAGTTACCAAGTAAGAATTAGAAATGCATTTCACTTTTCTGAATACTTAGATTGCTCATAGTTTCTTTTTCTCCCCCAATGATCTGTGCAGGGATGAGATTTCCCACATCCTACCCCAGTCTGTTGAGCTTTTTTTCTTTTTACTTCTTCCAGCTGAGCCCTGAAGCAATCAGTTTCTAATCTTAACTTCTGTTGTTCAATTTGTTCAAGTAATTCCAACTGCTTTTGCTTCTGCTCTTCTATTTCCATTATCTAAGTAACAAAAAACGATTATTCTATTAACAACAAACTCACATAAAATCAAAGTTTATAGTAAGCATTACACTGAAAAGAAATAGGTCTTATCACCAAGAGTACCAATTATGTGAAAAGAAAGTAGAGATTTTTAATTTCTGTTGTACCACTGCCAGAGGGAAGGGATTGAGAAATGGGAAAGCAGGGAAAGGAGAAAAAGGGAGAATTAAAAAAAGAGGCAGAAAGAGAAGAAAAAATAAACGCATTAACTATTTATATTTCCTGGGAATATAGTGAAATCTTGATCATCACTGAAGACCCACCTCCAGAGAAGTAGCAAATGAAGCTCAGACAAATTCTGTCTTCACACCTTTAATTTTACTGTGTTCTCCATAAGACTAACTAAAGAAATTAAATAACAAAACTTCCCCAAACACTTTGATTTCTTAGGCATACCCATAAAGGAGAAAGCCAAATGATAATACAATGAGGAACATTCCATATCTTTTCTGATAGGCATGAAACAGGTGGTCAGACACAGGCAGAGGGATGACACCCAAACTCTAATATTATACCAATGCACACACAGATGCATGTGATAAGAACATGTGTCAGAGTCACTAAGTTTCATGAGTACAGGAACTTGTCTGTTTCGCCTGCTAAATCTAGCACCTAGTATAGTTCCTCATACAAGCATGATACATAGATAAATATTTAATGAAAAAGTAGAAAAAGGAATATATGTGAAGTTTCATTAAGAGGAATACTTCTATGAGAGGTAATGAAGAATGATCTTGTTTTCAAAATAAAAAATGCCTCAATCTGACACTTTACCTATTTCTAATCAGGCAATAGTTAATATTAATAATTAACCAAGCTGTAGCCGAGTTCTTATCTTCCTTCTCCTTACTTTCCCTTGCTCACAGGAGCCAGTGAATTTAGACTGTTTACAGTTCTGCAGTACCTTTAGAACCGCATTATCAGTACAAGTCGCTAGCTACATGTGACTATTAAAATTTAAATTAGCCCAAGCTAAATACAATTTAAAATTCAATTCCTCAGTTCCACTAGTCATAGTTTAAGTAGTCAAAAGCCCATGTAGCTAGTGGCTGCCATATTGGACATAGACATGGAATACCTCCATTACCACAAAAAGTTCTAATGGACAATACTGCTTTGGAATATTATTAGAAAACATTTATTTGAGAAGAATACTGTGTACTCTCCAGATGTATTTTTGGAAAACTATAACTATAAACTGACTGGCTTAGTACTAATTAGCATCTTTTAAAGTAATTTGTATTTAAAAAATCTTTTATTAAAGTAAATGAGATGCAAATTATAGTTAAGGAGGTTAAATTTAAATTTTTCTTCTGAAATACTATTTTTCAAAAAAAAATTGGAATTATAAAGCCCAGCTGAGTGTCCAACATTATGACAGGGACTTGTTTATTCAATAATTATTTATTGAGCACTTACTATGTATAAGGCATTGTACCATAAACTATGTAGAATGGATTCAATTTTTAAAATCCAGTTTCTGCCTTTAAAAAAACTTATGAATTTTATCGGGAAGATAAAGTACATACAAAAGTATAAAATACAAAGCAGAATGCCATAAGGGTCAAATGAGTAGTATAAGTGAAAATGAAGAGCCTTCTATCAGCTAAATGTGTAAGACAAGATAGAATAAATGGTATCAAAAGCAGCCAGATAGTAAGACAAAGGTCATTGGTCAAACAAAGGTATAGTACCTTAGGGTAGAAAGTAACCTTTAAAAATAAAAATTTCAAATTACCTGTTTCTGCCTTGCTGCCATTCTAATTTTGGCTGCTTCTTCTTGAGGATGAAGTAGTACTGAACTCTGAGCTACAGTTGTGATAGGCTGAGTCTCTTTTATTTCTAAGAGAATCCCCAAAACAAAAATTCATTTCAATAATTCAGAATTCTGACACTACTATGATACCTTTTATTCATTCACTACATGAAATTTTATTAGGAAAAAAAATTAAAGAATCAAATAAGTTTAATTTGAGGATGTGATAAAAAGAAGTACCTTGTTCCTTTTTAGAGTCTCTATCACATGAAAGTGGTTTATCCTCACTAGTAAGTGGTCCAGAGTCAACTGTTATCGTATCACTTTCAACTGTAATAGATAATTATGGACATATTATCACTGTCAAGCCTAATTATAAACAAAGTAACAAAAATCTGCATTTAGATTAACAATTCAATCTTGGTCCACCTAAATGTCTAATTTAATTAAGATATAGTCACCTTCCAGATAATCATATATTTTATACATTAAATTCAAGCCTAATATAAAACCGATGGAAGTCTAAAACTGTGAAAAGGAGAACCCATTAAAAAGCCACGTTAACAGTTTCAAACATAACAGAAAAGCATCAAAGGACACAGGTAAAATAGAGCAAGATGAGGCTAGAGAAAGCCTACTTACACAAGGCCCTTTTCAAAATAACCTGGTTATGGACTGAAGATGAAAGAGCCCTTTTTATTTCCTACTTTGTTGGTCATTCCTTTTAACTGCCTTCGCTATTTGCCCTTTCTCTTGCCATGTACTAAATGCTGGAGTCCCTCAAATGGTCTTAAGCCCTGTCTCACTTCTTTCCCCTAAGAGTTCTTACATGCCCGTGGCTTTAATTAGCATATGTATGCCTGACTTCCTAACTTACCTCTCCTACTTTAAGCTATTCAATTAATTCAATAAATATTAACTGAAAACCTTTTATGTACAAGGTACTCATCTAGGCCCTCGGGATACAGCAATGAGCAAAATCTAGTACCTATCCTCATGGACCTTACGTTCCAGGATTGGAGGGTGCTCAGGGTGGAAAGAAAAGGGTAGGTGTCGAGAAGCAAATAAGAAATAAATTTATGGTCCATCAGATGTTTATAAGAGCTATGGAGAAAAAGCAGGGTAAAGGGGATAGGGAGTGAGGGGTGTGGGGAGGGAAGCTTGTCATTTTATACAGAGTGATCAGAGAAGGCCTAAGAAAGTGATATCTTAGCTAATACATGAAGGAAGGGAGTGAGACCAGTAATCGCAAAGACCATGTGAGTCATGTTTGCTCTGATAGAGGAATAGGGAGGCCAGTGCCTATAATGCAGTGGTTGGGATAAAAAGTGTGGTAGAAAAATGAAGTCAGAGAAAGAAGGAGGATGAGAAGTGGTGTGGGAGAGGTGTTGTATGGCTTTGATGCCACTGTGAGCACTTTGGCTTTTACTGAGTCACACAGGCAGTTGTTGGAGGGCTTCCCCCACAGGAATGACGTGGGCTGATATATGTTTTACCAGGATGACTTTGGGAATTTAATGTGCAAAACTGAAAACAGAAGACTTGTTAGGAGGCTATTGCAAAAATCTACACTAGAGAATGAATGTGGCTTAAACTAGGAAAGTAGGCAGTGAGAAATGGCTGGACCTTCGTAATATTTTGAGGGTAAGACCAACAGGATTTTGTTTTTTAGATGTAGGATATAAGAGAACAGGAATAACAAGGTTTTTGGCTTGAGCAAGAGAATTTTACTGCCACTTATTGAAATGTGAAAAACTGTAGGAAAAGCAGGTATAGGGTGGAAGGGGCTATCAAGAGTTTAGTTTTAGAAAAGTTTAAGATGTAATTAGATATACAAGGGAAGCTGTCAAATAGACATTTAAATGAGTGGAGTTCAAAGGAGAGGCCAAGCCTAGAAAGACACCCTTGGAACTCATCAGTATATGGATGGTAACATAAAGTCATGACGTAAGAGATCAAAACCCAAGAGTGTTGATACAAAGAGATCTGAGAAACAAGCTCTGGAGGCAATGACTGGTGGTTGTAGAGATGAGGATAAGAAGCAAAGGAAACCCTGAAGGAGGAGTCAGTGACATAGGATACCAAGAGAGGGTGGGGTCAAGAGGTCAAGCGAAGAGTTGTTTCCAGAAGGCTTTCTGTCATACTTAAGATGAAATCCAAAATACAAACTACAAGTCACTTCTTTTAGAAGCCTGGTAGCAAAACATTTCCACACAAACCCAACCACATTTTTCAAAAATTCCAGATGATAAAACTCTAAGAATAAACACACAATAGAGTACACTCAAAAGCTGTTAACATGTTCATCTCCTTCAGGAATTCTTTCAAAATTAAAAATGTGGGCAAGGATTTTGCTAAAAGAATGCTCATTGCAGCACAAGAAATAAGAAAAATTAGAAACAGCCTAAATGTCTCAACAGGAAATTGGTTAATTTTTAGTTCATCAATTACTCTGAAATTAATATATATGAATACTACTACTACATTGAAAAAGGTCTAGAAGGAGATTCACTAAAGTTTTTAACACTTATTGCTTTAAGTAGTAGCATTATGGGCTTTAAAATGTTATCTTGCTTTTGACTTCTATTTGATTTTTCAGAAATGAAGATACTTTTGAATAACTTAGAAAGGGTTGATGGACTACAAAATGAGACTATTAGAGAAGCACCTTGTTCCTGCCCAGAGGATAACGTCCTCTCTTCGACAGCAGTCGTTCCTGATTTAGCTGTTGGTGCTTCGCTCTCAGTTCCACTAACAGTTGCAGTCTCCTCACTTTCATCCTCAGACATGGATTTAATTGTCCAGAGAGATTTTTGGCTTCGGATCTTATTTAATAATTTTTTAAAAAGAATTTTTGAAGGGAGCTGGTGGGTCTTCATTGCCAAGGGGACTGGAAGAAAAAAAACACAACTTATTTAGCATCTATTACATACCAGGCAAATTATTCAATCTTTTTACTTAGTTATCACTACGACCACCAGTTAAAAGAGAAGCACGACTTTATTTTTCTCCCCATTTATAATTTAACACTATATACAATGCTAATTCACCCCCAATCACAATTTTATAACCAGGAATAAATTTTTTCAACTTAAATTTAAATACTTCCCAACACCAATTTCAAGCTTAAAAATTTATCATGCTTATTCTGCTTGCTAGATAATGACAGAGTGCATACATCTAATTTGTGGATAAGATTAGCATTCAAAATATGTGCTGTAAGGTTCTATACTCTATGCTAGAGGAGAGTCCCAAATATGGCTCTGAACTTCTTAGTAAGCTACAGAGGAAAACGTTACTAATTATAATTTTAAAAGCAAATCAAGTGCTCCCAAGTCATTTCTCGTACTATCTGGGAAAATTTCTCCCACTTAGCATCTACGGTTAAAAAAAATTCTTAAGTTGTTTCTTCAAAACATTCTTCCATGTGATACAATGCCAAAACTCAGTACAGTATTAACAATTCTCTTATGAGACAAAACTGTGTTGCAGATACATAGTCCTCAGACTGATTTGAGTAGTAAAACTCAAGAAACCTATAGAGGTTGAAAACTGGTAGACTGCAGTTTTGTTTGACCCACATTTTTCTTTAAAATTACAAGCAGTAATGGCACAAAACCTAAGTGTACAGCTCATGAGTTTCACATGAATCTAAGTAACACCATTCAGATCATTATGTGGAACACTTCCAGCACCTGGATAACTCCTTCGTGCCCCTTGCCAGTCAATATACCCCAAGATAACCACTATTCTAACCTTGAGACCAGACAAGCTTTGTATGTTTTTTGCCTTTAACTTCGTATAAATATGGAATTATACTTAGGTGTTCTTTTCTGCCTGGCTTCTTTCACTTACCATTAATTAGCCTGTGACTCATTCAATTTTAAGAAATAAATTACATTGCCAATATTTAAAAATAAGTATTTAAAAACAATGGGATTCCTATTATCTTATTTAGTAAGTTTTGAAACATCAAAAGTGTTGGCAACACCAAGCCAGCAATCTCAAATGGGATCAGCAGAAGCTGAAGAATAACTGTTCCTTTCGATAAGGCAAGACTCGCAATTCTGACAAACTAGAGATCTGAATGATATTCCCAATGAAAAAAAAAAAAAAACTAAAAAAGCTGGATAAAGTAATCAAATATCTTCTTAAAGGCACAGCTGAGCTGGCAAGAAAATAAAAGATTTGCAGAGGTCGGAAATGAAGTGTAAGTGGGAATTCTGGTAGGCAACTGAGCCCTGAAACCATCTGCTGAAGTTTATGCCAAACCACAATAACCTGACACTTCGTCTGAACAGCAGTGTGGGCACAGGGGCAGGGATAAAACGTAGAGCTCTCACCCAAGGAGTAATAGGAGATCCACATAAAGTTGTAACCGCAAAGAGCTACCTATCCACAGTATAGAGGAAAATGATAAGAAAGCCTGAGTGGTTTTGAACAAAGGCAATACTAGTAGGTGTGGGGGTAAAATGAGGTCAAAATGAAGAGGACTTGGTCTCTAAGGAGATGTAGAGTAGAAGAAAGGGAAGTGTTAGAGAAAATTTTTATTGGTCTGGCTTGGATAACTGCAGACTGTGGTATCATCTACTATGATGAGGAAGACAGGAAGGTTTCAGCAGACAAGAGAAGATGATAAACTTATTGTTAGACATTGAATTTTAAGTACCTGTGAGACGGTCTAGTGAAAAAGTTCAGAATGTGGAGAAAGGAACAAAGTTTAAAAGAGACATCTAAGTTTGTGCTATTTATCATTACACACGAAGTGCCTAGCAGTAATTAACACAGAAGACTCTCTGGTGATTTGATCAAAGTAAAAAATGCTGACCTTACAAATGAATGAATCATCTAATCAAATAACCTAAAAATCTTCAGACTATATGTACATATGAATAAAAGAACTCTCTTCTTATGTATATGAAAAGGATATTTCATAATGGGAATCTGAAAACACTGTTTCTTCCTTCCATCACTCCCATTAGTATTAGTCTGAGTTTGCACTTAAATTAAACCCGATTTTTCTAACTGTTGGCAAATGATTAGCATTTTTTTTCTACAAAATATTTTAATAGTCAGCTCAAAAGAAGTTTTTACCATCTGCTTCACTAAAACATGTTCTTTCAGCTTCTGTCACTGGAAGGTTTTCAGTTGCACCTAAATTTTCTTGTTCCATTGAAAGGTCCAGTTCATCTTCGATCTGATCAGTCACAGTGGGCAAAGGCTCTGGTTCAAGGTGCAAAATCAGGTTTCCTTTCACCTCTCAATAGAGAAATAAAGAGACATGTTTTCATTCCAAAAAACCTTGAGACATGTTTTCATTCCAAAAAACCTTATAATTTTAAAGGCCATCACAGCTTCTAAGTTTAAAACATAAAATCCTTATATGGAGAACTCATTTCAAAATAAAAACTGCTCCATCAATACAAATGTATTTTCCCACCAAAACATCTAAAAGCATTGTTAAGTTTACTGAAAATTTCTTACTCCTGTCTGCATTGTACATGTCTTCAAAGGCAAATTCTAGCTCTCTCTGCCAATCTTCTTTCATTTCACTGCGTTTGTATGGAAGTTCAAGTAGTTGTGATGGCATTTGTGCTACAGTCTGTCTCCTACGTGCCAGATCCTCTTGCTGTAGCTGTCTGAGTTCTTTCATTAGTTTCTCTTGATTCTTAAAGAATAAAGAGAATTAATTAACAACAGCTGAGTCACGAATTTTGCATAGTAGCAGTAACAGTGAGGGGAAAGCGGAGAAACCTGAGGAACAGAGGCCTGGGGTTCCTTCCTCTCCCCTCCTCTCCCCTCCACCCCTCTCTCCTCCTCTCTCCTCCTTTCTCCTCCCATTTATTCTGTCACAAAAAGCCATTAACATACTCATTCGAAAAAAATTTACTGAATGCCAAATACCACGACAGATGCTAGAGACACAATCTCATCCCTAGCCTACAGACCAACAAATAGGTAATTAGTATCCTGTTAGTAAGTACTATAAGATGGTGGTGCTTCAAAAGTATCTGCCAATTACAGTTCTCTCTTGGGAAGGTTGTCATGGCTCCTGCAATGTACTTTGTGCCAATTCTCCACATAGCCAGCAGCACATGCCAGTCTCAGGTAAGCAGTAAGATCCAGAGTGACTATGGCTAAACAAATGATATTTGTTACTTCACGCTCTTAGGAATCACCGTGATTAAAGGGTATCTGTAAGTATCTCTTTAAGCTTAAAGCTAGGGCCCCCAACCTCCAAGCTGCAGACTGGTACCCGGTCAGTGGCCTGTTCGAAACCGGGCCGCAAAGCAGGAGGTGAGCGGCAGACAAACAAGCAAAGCTTCATCTGCATTTGCTCCACCTCAGATCCCAGGCATTAGATTCTCATAGGAGCACCAGTTCCTGTTGGGTACCGCTGGCTTAAAGAACCTGGCTAACACAAAAGTTTAAGCAAGTGTTTAAGTGAGGCTATCTAACTAAATTTTGGTGGTGGAGGATAGGGAGGGGCCATGAGGGACGACCTCTCATCCCTTGGTACGATTTAGCCAGATAAAGTGGGTAAAGGAGAAGTACAATAAAGAAATAATAACAAGTACAAAGGTATGGAGATAAAGGAATGAGGTAGTCAGAGAATGTACACTGTTCATTATAGATAGGACATAGAGGGCAAGGGTAGTTAAAGAAAAGATAAAAGTTGAAGAGCAGGCAGAGGCCAAATACTAGTGACATTTAGCAGGAAATAAGATCCCAGGGCACAATGGGGCATACAGCAAAAGATTCAGACAGGGGAAAGGAAATGCTCTAATAATAATGAGATTGCATGGTTTTGACAACCATTCTTGTGTAAGAGACACTAAGTCTACAAAAAGGTGGACAGCCTGTAAAATAAAGTGTTTGTCAAGTGATAACATATACACACTACTTATTCTTATGTAAAGTTTTAAATATTTTCTCATTTGGAGATTTTTTTTTGCCATGCCCTGAAAACGAATCAAATTATGAACAAATTTATTTCATTTATATTAAGATCAAATCATCTCATTAAATTAACTTGAAAGTTATTTGAATAAGTATACTATTTCTGGCTCACTGAAATCTTGGCATATTTAGCTATTTGAATTATTTAAAATAACAGCTACCACCACCACTGACATGTACTGTAAGCTTATGAAATTCCAGGCACAATTCTAGGGGCTTTGCTAAACTCATTTAATCCTCACAAAATAGATGATGAAACAGAGATCAGAGATGTTAGGTAACCTGCCTGAAATCAAACAGCAAAGTAGTGAAGAAGGAAGGAAAAATCCAGGCAGATTGTGAGTCCACTTTTTTAACCATGAAATACTATTGATTTATGAGAAGATTGTAATCAGTTTATAATGCTTTCTCATTTTTTCCCTATAGGCTTAAGCTTTAGATGAGAATTACTGGTAATAATTCAGACATTCAGTTACTTTAGTCATGATTTACTCCTGGTTCATCAAAGCTAAAAATTTAAGGGAGGTCATAATTCAATTCAAACTATACAAATGAACTTTAATAAGACTGACATTTAATTCCTATCCAGAAGTACTTAAAAACTCATTCCTCAGATATGAGTGTTTAAAATATCCAAATGCATTAGTCAAATTCAGAACATAAAATCAGACTTCTAAAAAGATGAATCATTTTTATGCTGTTTCAGGAATAAATGCTCATTGAGTAGGCATGACGAAGTGAAACTCAAACTATGAAGCCAGTTTTCATTATATGTATTTTGCAGCTCTGCAACAGTCACTTTTTCAAAACTCCTTGACAACAGAGTCATGACTCTACCTTTGAATCAATACTCTGCAAAGCCAACAAGTGCTTTGCTCAATAAATATTTAATGAACTGAATCTTAAAATTTACAGAGCACAAATAATTAGAAAAGTGATTAACTTCTTCTCAGGCTATTTTTGAAGTGATTAAAATATTTACTAATTCATCATTAGTAAATGTTTTAGAACAGTAACATACTCTCAGTAAGAATAGCTTCACCCAACCTGAACTTGAAACAGGAGATAAAAGAAAGTTGGAAAACCTGAAATCATGACTCAGAGACTATACTGTCACATTCTTCATACATACTTCTATAACGTGAGCCCATTTATTCCCGAGTTCTACAATGCTACTCGTAAATCTATCAGTATTGGTCACAGCCAGAATTTAAGTCTTACTTGAGCCAACTGAATCTTTTTCATTGCTTGGAAACCCCGTACGTGTGCCTTTTCATTCTGTTCCATTCTCTCTTTCGCTGCTTGTTTTTGTACTTCTTCCAATCTTTTAGCTTCTTCTTCAGCAGCCAAATGAGGATCTGGCTAGCAGTGAATCAAACATTTTAGACAATTTAAAAGTGTGAAACAAAGCGATAACTAAAGAACAAAACAAATTTAAGATCATGTTTTTCTACTTATCTAAAATTAAACTATAAAGAGTCATATTTTTAAATGCCCACAATTATCAACAGCATGTATCTACGAAAAAGATCACACTGCTAGTGTAGTTTGTTCACTATACTACTCAAGTTGCTCTTTTCAAACCAAATTACACTATATTCATCCAAATGCATTTCCCCATTGTTGTTTGTTAATGGAGAAATCCCATAAAACTGACAATGTTGAAAGGTAAATGCCCACGAAGCTAGTAGTTAAGAAACCACAAACATCACAGGTCATATAAGTCATTTAGAGAAGCAGTGAAATTTGTCTTTGGTTCTTAGCCAACAACTGTTGCTTGGCTTCAGCCTCAGGAAGGCCAAATCACCAAAATACTCACTTTAATAAAATTTCTAGCTTCCTAGAACTTGTGCATAACCAATAATTACGTGATTGTACTTTCGGCCATATCTCATTAAAATAATAATAGTAATACCAAAAGCGGGGAGAGGAACACAACTTGGATTTACGATTATATCTGAACATTCACTTTCAAAGATAGGTAAACATTCCAAATGTAACTTTAAGTAAAAATCTTATGTATTTTATATGTTGAAATTCCACTGGCCAAGTTATACAATAATTAATGACCATGAAAGCTATTAAGTATAAATGTAAAATTATTTAAAACATTCAAATAGTGAAGTAAATAGGTAAAGAAACTGACAATATATTAAGAAAGAGTGGACTGGCCAAAAACTTTATGAGAAATATTATATCCCCTTTGAGCCAATAAATATTTATGCAAATCTAAATATACCAGGCAGAACAAAGGTTAGTTAAGTCTTTCATCAATCTTAGTTGAAAGGAAACATCTATTTAATACTACAAAAATGCAGTATTAGTAACCACAAGAGCAAGTTAGCAACAGACTGAAGTTACTATTCTTCTATTATAATACTGAAGTTGTGATGATAATTTACGATTTTAAACAAACCTCAAGATTTATTCTTATTTCTTAGAAGTTAACTCTATAACAATGACACTCATCTTAGGTCTTAACCAAACATTGATTTTAACATCTGCTATCAAGCAGTCAACAAAAGTGTGTATTCGTTGCATTTTAAACTCCATATGAATGCTATATTGAGAACATTTATTTTCCTAGTAACCAAATATATCCAACATGAAAAAAAAATTAAGACTCATCATTACAAAAATATACAAATTCTAATAACAAGAAGATATCTGTCATTCTTAAGACTGGCAATAATTTTTAAATCATAATAGTCCATACAGATAAGGGCACAATAAGATAGCGATTCTCATATTTTGCTAATGATTTTAAAAGGCAATTCAATGATCCATATCAATTATCTGTATCAAATATTACACAATTTGGAACAAATAAGTTCTCTTCTAGGAATCTATTCTAAACAGACAGAGTTGTAGACAAAAATGTACAAGATTATTATGTTTGCATTATTTACAGAAGAAAAATGGAACAATAGAAAAATGGTTAAATAAATTCTATGATGAAATATTAAGTACTTGTTAAAATCATGTTTTGAAAAGTGTGTGTATGTGTTTATATGTAAAGACTAATAAATTCGTTAATGCATTAACCACATTTTCTTTTAGTGAAGAAGTCATAAGTTTTCTTCCTATAGTTTATGCTTGCATGTGTAATTCTGAATTTTTCACAAAGAGCATGTATTATAATAGTTTTAAAATCTGCTATTTTAAAATATAATCATTTAAATAGCCAACTCCTTTCATTCATATTAAACCATCATTCATATCAGACACAGCATGATAATTCAAAGCATAATTAAAAGATTTTTTTGTATCATTATTACCCTGTGATGATTGGTAGAGTTGTTCAAATTTTGATATCTGGGAACAACACACAAAGAACCAAGAAATAACTCAATTCAATGAACAGAGAAATAAAGTGAGGATCATAAACAAACCATAAATCAATCACCTGCTTTGTGTCTATCTCTCTATTCACGAAAGTGTAAAGATGATGGTAGGTAGAGCTACCTGTTTTCACATTAGAAATTCTCTTTACTTCAATGTTCTAAAAAATGGAACACAGAAAATAGATTATTAGGTTAAAAGCGTTAATTTTAATTTAAAGCTAGATCCACTGCAAAAAAATAATTTTGTATTTTCATCAGTTATCCTTATTTGTTTTTTTCACATGGCATCAAGCACTGTATTTCCATTAAATTAGAATTTAGGTTTAAAAGCTGGATCAGACTGAGGCAAGAATATTAAAAATAGGTGATACTGTATAGTTTAATGCATCACATCAGTAGGCACATAATGGTAAGTTGCGCCACTATTATTGATTCTAAGTTTGATCATTTGTTATGGTGGTTCATGCCACTATAAGACAAAGTTCTCTTTTCTTTTTTCAAAAAGAAGTAGGCCAATGAATAAATGTAGAAGGATGATAGATACCTGCCTGGTGCCAAATATCATATCCCAGCTTATCTGGTAATTGAAAAGAGAAAAGTAGATCTTTATGATGGATGTCTTGTGTAATCACCACCATGAGACAAATATAGAATATGAAAAACTAGTCTAGTCCCTTCAACTCATCTCTTCAAAAAGTATGAAGTAATAAATTTGGCTAAGGTTGGAGGAGATAATGTTTTACATTAAGAAGGACCAAAGAGATAAAAATAAGAGGAAACAATAGGTGAACCTTGACTTAGATCATGGCTTAAAAAAAGAAAAAAACCTGTAAGACAAGACAATATAGGGACAGCTGGAGAATTTTGATTATAGACTGTATATTAATTGGATTTAAGGAATTAATTTTCTTAGTGTGATATGTAGTTGCATAAGAGAATACCCTTATTCATACAAGAAACATGCTGAGGTATTTAGGGTGAAATGCCATCTCTACAATTTACATTCAAATGCATACACATATACACACAACTGTTTGAAATCTAAAATTTTTTCCTAATAAAAAGTTTGGGGAAAAAGTATAACCACACATTTACATACAATTCATATTTGCCAAATCACTTACATAGACACTATTTTGTTTGCTTTTTGTAAATTTTTGACCTTGGCTTGTTAGGAACATTAGGAATTATGACAAAGGTAATCAAAAGGCATCATGGATAAAACACTGCCTGCCTTTTAACACAGTAACTAAGGGAGGGACTGAAATCTGACTCTTCCATTTGAATCTTGTTGGATTAAATGTTGCATTGCAGATGGCTTAACATAAAAGCAGGAAGGCTGACAAACGGAAAGGCTTAAGAGGCAAATATCTGGATTTATGCTGATTAAACACCATAAAATATACTTGTATATACAACTAGATTAGATATCCCTGTATGTTTTTTTCTTTTCTATGTAACTTTTAGATAAAAATATCCAAATAGTCATCTCAATAAACCACAGCAAGCTAATGTGAACAAGAAAACCAATATCTTTTAAAAATAATTTTCACTTTGGCCTTTTTTTTCAAAAGTAAGCTCCAAATCACAAAAGCACACATTTTACTCTCATAAAGAGACCTTTCTCATTACTTTGTCATCTTGTGTAAATTCATTAACTTATCTGAGCCTAATTTCTTTATATATAAAATGGTATCTATGTACAAGGGCCAAATCCTGAATGTGGGAAAGTCTATATAGAGTAAATATTCCATTTTTTTCAAATAAATAAAGGGCATTAAAAAAAAAAAAAGGGCCAAACTATTCTATTTTAAAAAATCAAAAACATCACAGGTTTTCAAACAACAAAAAGACATTTTGAGACAACTGGGGAAAACAGAACATAGACTGGGTATTAGATGGAATAATATTAATATTATGCTTTAAAAAAAGTCCTTATCTCAGAGATACATAATAAAGTATTTACAGGTAAAATAATATCTAGCATTATTTTTAAATACTCCAGATATAGTCACATGTTACTTGTACAATTTAAAAGTTAAATGATATTTTGATCTGTACTGAATTCTAATAATAAAGAATTACAACCTAGGTCTTCTAATATTCAAAGTAATTCACCTCAAAAAGAGTTGGAGGAGGAGGTGGCAGACTTGTAATTTTGGCAGATCTCTCTTTTTCCACAAGCAGTGCTTCCTTTCGAGCTTTTATATGCCTGAAAAACAAGAGATATCATAAATTAATCTCTCAGATAATAATACAGTATAACCCTTAGGGTTAAAAATATAAAAGCCATAGGATCTCAAGAAATCCTCCAGTCCGATCCCACAGGCTCGGTATCCTGTTTAATGAGTTTATACACAATGGATAGGTAAAAAAAAATGTTTACCAAGTAAAAGATATATCTAAAGTTGTAAAGTTCTACAGTGGGGGCTGACCCAACAAATCAAATATCCATGTTCCTTAGTTTAGGATAGTTTAGAGTTAATGTCGATAAAGATGGGCCACTGAATAAAACGACCACTGCTGACTAGTAACAGGCTCTTTCATTTTTATGCAAAATATGTAAAAATACTCATTAAGGACTTCCAGCGTCTACAACCTCTTTTAATGTTCTTAAATCATGCCGATTTTTTTTCCTTTTTTACATCAGAAGCAGAGAGATTCTGGTTGACATGCATTCTGAACTAGCCATATATTTCTATAGAAATTTAGTAATTGTTGCTAAAGTCGGACTGGAAAAGAAAGCTCATGTTACTATGTTCACCTAAGCAAACCACTCCCCTCACTGCATTATTTTTAAACCAAGTTAACACTCAACAGATGTACAATGATTTTTATTTAATATCTGCTTAAACAATATCCATGCAGCCTCTACTTCTAGCCAACCAGTTTTAGTGGAAAATATGGTAAAAATTATTACTTTACCAGGTTTTTTGTTTCATTAACATTTCTTTTTGATTTTTCTGTACTTTCAAGGCTTCTTTATGCCTCACTTCTGCTCTTCTTTTTCTTTCTGCTGCCTGCTCTGCCAGAGCATTCAAATCAGGTTCCTAAAAATATATATTACTTAAAATGTCATGTTAAACAAGATTAAAGTATTACATACAGTACAACTCTTGGTTGGTTCCCCAGTCATGGCAAAAATAATGAAGGTGGTATTCAAATGACTGAAGTTTAGTAAACACTGCCCTAAAGCATCAAGTTAATGGTGGCAGAAATAAAACTACAAAAATCTGATGTCAGAACTTAAGGTTATTTCTAAAAACACAGACTAAAACTGGAGACCCAAGAAACATATTTGATTGCCGCATTCTTTAAAGACATTTGTTTTCCTCCCTAGCAGTTTGATATCAAGGACTTCCCCTCTTTGGAACCGGAGGGGAATAAACCTCTTGTTTATTTTGTGTGACCATCTCTGGAACTGCAATCTAGCACAGGCATGCCCCGTTTCGCCGTGCTTTGCTTTCTTGTACTTAATAGTGCATTTTTTTTAATAAATTGAAGGTTTGAGGCAACCCTGAATTGAGCAAGTCTATCAGAGCCATTTTTCCAACAGTCTCAGATGATGGTCAGCACTTTTTAATGTTGAAGTATTTTTTAATGAAGATGTATGTACACTGTTTTTTAGACATAATGCAACTGTACACTTAATAGACTACAATATAGTGTAAATATAACATTTATATTCACCAGGAAACCAAATTAATTCCTGTGACTCACTCTATTGTGGTAGTCTGGAACGAAACTTCAATATCTCTGAGGTATGCCTGTATTTTCCAACCATAAATCACAATAAACAATAAAATAAGGCTAGAAAGCAGTCTTAAATAGAGTTAAGTTCTACTTTGCATTTCTGAAAGTCATCAAAGAATTTTTATTCTCTGTGAATGAAATCTATACATTCAACTATACATGTTTTAGAGGTATGAGGAATGATAACAAAATGAGAAATTTGAATCCACCCCACTGAATCTGTCCAAAATGCTTGAAATAACAACTTCTGATTCAGAAGGTTACTCTCTTATTTGCCCATATTCTTAGGACTGAAAGAGAATAAAGTTAATTTAAACATAGCAGGAAGACAGATTTTACTTAACATGACTCTTACTAGAAAATGAACCTAGCAGCAGTCTTAAATTACATTAAACTCACAATAAAGGTTCAGCCCGCCCCAAGCAAATTCTATATAAGAAAACATTTTTATCACACAAGCATTTAACAAATACAATTTACTTTTAACCAATATTATTACCACAAAGAGATAATCAAATAAGTGTTCACTTACATTTTCTTTGGCTCGTTGATGTCCCTCTCCCATACTTCTTAAACTTGCCAAATAGAGTTGTTCCAAGTTCTTTATTTTCTGAGTTTGTGATTCTTCCCATTCTGTTCTTAGCGCCTCTGCCAAACGAATAAATTGCTGATTTCTCCTCTGCTTTACATCTTCTCTTATCTGTAAAGCAATGTCCCTTTCTTGTTCTCGAACCTAAAGAACGAATATTTAACAGATTATATGAAAAGAAGCTTAAAGTTTTTTGAAAAATTATTTGAAAATAAGAAATTAAATAAATTCTCTTTAGGTCTATCGATTCTCTTGATATTATATTAGATAAGATCTATGTAAAGCAAAAACATCCAAATGGTGTAGAAATGATTGATTAGTAATGATTCCCTCCCCGCATCAAGCCCAATGGTAATGCCTTTATCATTCTAATAACCGAATTTAAGAGGCTAAAAATGCTTAAGCATGATTCAACAAAATTTATAGCTAAGATAGGAACACAGAGACCTAACATTCCATATCTGTGGTACATCATCCCCAAGTCTAGGCATAATGGCACCTAAAATATGCTTCACAAAGACTTAACTTACTGTAAAAAGACTTCTAGAAAAAAAATCTACTTAATAAATTTGTTTCAGCAGCTAATAATCTTTCTAGTAAGTCTTCTCCAGTCATTTTTTTCTAATGTTCATCAGTTACACATAATTTAAAAAATATTTAAAGAACTATTTTCCAATAATTATTGAGTCAAATAATCCCCATCCTCCAACTCTTCATCTATTTACCATTTCAGCCTATTTCTCAAATGTTCCAAAAACTGGTTAATATGCAAGAACCAGAGCTCTTGCACAGCCAGAAAAGGTTTTAAATGCGACATTTTATTTCAAACACACTAATACAAAAAATACTAATAATTTGGGGAAGACAAAGAATTGAAATTTTGTTTCAAATAAATTTTACCTGCAGCAATCTTAGTTTTCGTCTTCTTTCATAATCTTCTTTTAAAATGAAAGCTTCCTCATTAGGACTCAATCTCAACTTGCCAGCATTTACTTTTCTTTTCATTTCTGTGTTCTTTACATATAAAGGTTCTGAATTTGAAAAAAGAAAAATCTCTATTAAAAGACGGTAGCAAAGATGAGAGTGATTTTTAAAATACTTATTAATACATTTGACATAAAGGGCTATATACATGAAAATAATTTGGGTAAACAAAGTCCAACTTATTTATAGTTATCAGTTATTAATTTAGCACTTAAATCAGTGGTTCTCATATGAATGGAAACTATCTATATTCCCATCTATAGCAGATGATTATTTACCTAGAGTATCTGGGACCTGACTTATTCCTGATTGGGATTTCCAGAGTTCATCTAGCTTAAATGCAAAAAAGTGCGAAGAGTTAAAAAGATATGTTAACATAGAGTAAATGTTTTCACAAGTACAATTTTAACACTCTAGACCTTAGATAACTTCTTCATAACCAGCAAGACTTCTGTAATTGCAAGGGTTTCTGATACTTAGATTCAACTCCCAATCTGCTGTATGTAACCTGATCACCAAGTGTCATTGTATTGCATAAAATCACATCAACCGCTGAACAGTAAAAAATTCTGCAATAATTAAAAGCGTGATTGTTTTAGCATTTTATTTTATTATGTTTCAAGTACACAGTATATTGTTTAGACACTTATATAGTTTATGAAACAATACCCCTGATTACTTATCACCCTCTGGCTCTATACATAGCCATTATATTATTGCTAACTGCATTCCCTATGCTGTGCTCCCCATCCCCATGACCATCTATCAACTACTAATTCGTACTTCTTTAACCCTTCACCTCTTTCACCCAGCTTCCCAACCCTCCTCCCCTATGGCTATACCGTCCTCTATATTTGTGAGTCTGTTTTTGATTAGTTGTTCTATTTATTCCTTAGAATAAATTTATTCTGCATATAAGTAAAATCATATAGTATTTATCTTTCTGACTTATTTCACTCAGCATAACAATCTCTAGGTCCATCCATGTCATTGCAAACGGTAGAATTTCTTTTTTTATTGCTGAGTAATATTCCATTGTATATATCAGCGGTCCCCAACCTTTTTGACACCAAGGACCAGTACTATGAGAATCTAATGCCTGATGATCTGAGGTGGAGCTGAGGTGGTGATGCTACTAGCGCTGGGGAGCAGCTCTAAATACAGATGAAGCTTCTCTCCTTGTCTGCCACTCACCTCCTGCTGTGCAGCTCAATTCCTAACAGGCCACAGACCAGTACCTGTACATGGCCTGATGGTTGAGAGGCCCTGGTGTATATGAACCACAACTTCTCTATCCAATCATCCATTGATGGGCATTTAGGTTGCCTCCATATCCTGGTTATTGTGAATAGCACTGTCATGAACATGGGGATGCACAAATCTTTAAGAATTATTGTTTTGGTTTTCTTTGGATAAATATCCAGAAGCGCAATAGCTGGGTCAAAAGTAGATCCATTTTTAATTTTTTGAGGAACCTCCAAACTGTTTTCCATTGTGGCTATACCAACTTGCAATCCCACCAACAGTGTATGAGGGTTCCACATCCTCACCAACACTTGTTTTTTGATTTATTGATGATAGCCATTCTAACGGTTGTGATTTTAATTTGCATTTCTCTGATTAGTGACCTTGAGCATCTTTTCATATGTCTACTGGCCATTTGTATTTCTGCTTTGAGAAATGTGTACTCAGGTCTTCTGTCCATTTTTTAATTGGATTGTTTTTGTTGTTTTTGTTTAGTTGTATGAGTTCTTTATATATTTTGGATATTAACCCTTTATCAGATGTATCATAAGCAAATATCTTCTCCCTTTCAGTAAGTTGTACAATGGTGTGATTTTAAATGAATATTCATTTAAAAAATTCCTCTTGGAACAATTCTGTTGTTTTGATGAGTCAAACGTTTAGATTCGCAGTTCTAATTTTTCCAGTGGTACTGTTTACACTCGGGTGTTCTCACTCTCTTCCCTAGATTAACATGCCCCTATTTGAGGGAGTTTGCTGGGGAGAAATGGAAAGAATACAAGGATCTATAAGTTTCTGTAAATTGAAAACCCTCCTCAGGTGATTCTGATAGCTTCTTGTTCCCATTACTGCCATTTCCAAAAATTAGATAAAATCAGCATATCACCATGGTGTTTGACTTGTCAGAGACAAGTCAATATTTCTCAGATCCCCTCGCAATGATCAGGCAGGCAAACTGGGTACTTGGATACTTACATCTCTCTCAAGCTAACTTAAGCCCCACTTCTCCAAGACACTGTTCTCTAGTAATTCTTGCTCCACTCACCCATCTACTCATTCCTGACCTGCCCACCTATTATAACCTTTACGTTCATATGGAGACTAACTTTATGTTGTTGTAGTATTACTTTCCTCTAGTTTTTCATCATTTACAGTTTGCCCTTTCTAGTTATGAAGACGAATTTTCCACTCAAATGGCTAACCTTGTAATCAGCTCTTTGTTCTGCTTCTGTAGACATGCTTCCTGCAGAGGCCGAAGGGCAGAGTGATCTCAAGATCAACTAAAGGCTCACTCTCTCCTTTGATTGTTCTGTTTAGATAACAGATGTATTGCTTAAGTTCTTGTCTGAAAATCTCATGCTCTGTAACTGTCTGTAGCCCATAGCGACTCCCTGTGGTCTGTAACCGCCTGAAGACAAATCAACCTGTCAGCTCATGCCAACTACAACAGCACAGATAAGCCCTGCAAGAGTAAAACTACCCCTGAGCTTGGGGCCCAGATTTTCAGAGCACTAGCTCTTCTGGGACCATTGGCGTAATAAACCTGAGTTCTCCAAATCTCCAAGTGGTACTTGGTTTCTCACCGGTCTGATTTCACAATATTTCTGCAACATTTCTAGAGGCCCCAGCAAGATTCCAGCCACGCTGGCCCTTTGAGCTACCGGCCCCAAGATGAACAAGGAGGCGTGCCACCTGACGGTATTCCGGGTTCTCTTTCAGATTGGCACTCCAACTTTCCTGACAGCCAACCCCCTGACCAGACTCAAAGGAGGAATGGACCAACTAACAAGGAACAGTCACAGGATAAGGTAAGGCGCCAGGGCTCAGCGTCCTAGTCAAGTCCCGTCTCTGGACAGAAGAGGGGCTCGATCGCCTCCTAAAGTCTCTAGTTAGAAGACACAGGTCAGGGTCTTCCCAGCGGGGGAAGACATCAGGGTCTTCTCAAATGGGAAGACAAAGGTCAGGGACTTCCAAAAAGGGGGAGGCAATGTTTTAACCTGGTATGTGAATGAGTGAGTGAATGGGCGGTCTGGCCAGCTTGACTCGGTCAAGTAGGAATTTGTGGCTCCACGGCTGGGCACCCTTAAGGTCCCCTAAAGGCTAGAGAGTCCAAGTGGGCTCATCTGCGGTTCAGTGGTATACAGCATATGGTCTATGGCAGCATTGGATTAGTGTCCGATCGTGAGTCACAAAGCTGAGTCCGCTATGGTCAAGCGTCACCTAAGCTCCTTTGGGACGCAGCCAGATGAGCACCTGAGTGGTCTCCTCTCTGGAGGTGGTACCTACCCTTGTTTGTCTTTGCATCACCAACACAGGGGTTGGGGGGCAATTAATTACTGATTTGGCTTAAGAACTGTCTGTCTCTAAACGGTCCTTTTGACATAGGGGCCCTCTGTTGAATTATTTTCTTGAAATTTTAAGGTCTATTTTCCCCCTCTATTAGGAAACTCCCTAAGGCAAATATGGGGAGAGGTTCTTCTAAGCTAACTGTCTTAAATTGTATGTTGAAAAATTTTAAGAAAGGCTTCTCAGGATTAAGAGGTCAAGTTGACCCCAGGAAAATTTCGTACTCTTTATGAGCTTGAGTGGCCTGCCTATGGGGTAAGATGGCTTTTGTAAGGACCCTGGACCTCCCCACTGTTAGAGCTGTGTACCGGGTAGTCAGGAACCCCTGGACATCCAGACCAGTTTCCATACATAGACTCATAGTTGCAAATAGCTACTGTAGTGCCCCCTTGGGCCCGGTACTGTGCAAATAGGCAGGGACAGAGTAAGGTACTTGTGGCTGCCCGACTTGAGGAAAGAACAAGGAAGAACCAGCAAAGACATCTAATTTATTTTAGCCACCTGCTGTACAATTATTGAAAAGGACCGCATTCTAACAGCGGCCCGTCAGGAGGCAGATGAGGCCTTTGTTAGGAACCCCCAAGGCCATGCCCCTGGAACAGAGGTAGTACCTTTAGCTGATCTTGTTTGGAATAATACCCAAGAGGGAATAACCAGATGTGCCAAATTTCTAGAGGCCCCCATGGGGGAATGAAAAAAGGAATACAAAAGCCGTGAACTATGAGAAACTTAGAAATATTACTCAAGAAAAAGACAAGAACCCAGCCAGCTTTTTTAGCTGGCTGGAAGAATCCTTTAGGAGGTATACTAATGCAGACCCCTCTTCCCCTGCGGGGTTAGCTTTGTTAGGCCAGCATTTTATTAGCCAGTCAGCCTCTGATATCAGATGCAAGCTTCAAAAGCTGCAAATGGGGCCACAGACTAACCAAAATCAATTACTATATATGGTCTTCATGGTCTATAACACTCAAGATCTTGAAGAAGGAAAAAGAAAACAAAATAAAGAAAAACGACAAGCCAGGATTATGGCTGTCGCAATTGGCCAGGCCCTTGGTACCCGACAAGCGTCCCTTAAGAGACCAGGGAATAAGGAGACATTGAGTTCTTGCTTCAAATGCAAGAAAGTAGGACATTAGGCAAAGGACTGTATAGAAAAGCCCCCAAGCCTCTGCGGCACATGCAAAGAAACCAGTACTAATCCCTGGCATTGGAGAGTTGACTGTCAACAATCCCAGAGAGGAGGGAGGCCAGCCAACACCCTAGGAGCCCAGGTCCGGGAACTGTGTGACTGAAGAGGCCCGGGGCCATCCTCGCCACCCCTGCCCAGGAATATGGTCATCACTACCGAGGAACCCTGGGTAACTCTGGACAAAATGGATAAGCAAATTCAATTTCTTTTAGATACATAGGCAACCTATTCTGTTTTCCCTGCATTTGCAGGAAAACTCTCCTCACA